TTCTTTGTGATATAGTTAAGCCTACCAAGATCCACATACTACTAATCTTTACAGGTCCGGCTTTGCAATCGCTCTACTTATCAAGCGTGTCATTGCGCCACGAACCAGCCACGGTGATTGACCTGTTTTTGTATTAGTTGAAAACATTATAAGAACTTGGTATATGCTATAGTGCTGAGCGACTTGCAACCCCACAAGCAAAAGATTACTATTAATAAGAAGTTGTATGCATCTGTTTGTTTTTCTTGTTTGCTACTGACAATGACAGGAGTGTACAAAGAGAACGGGATGGAACATATAAAACAATGGCTTTCACATCAAGAAGATATACATAATGAGGTTTGTGAAAATAAGATATCATTGCCTTTATTTGTTGGTAAGTTTAATCCTAGAGACTATATTGATTGGGAGTTTGTTGTGGAAGATGAACTTGAATATTATGAATGGTCTGATGAACAAAAGATTAAGGTAGCAACAAGTTCTTTTACTTCTTTTGCATCTCTTTGGTGGAGTGATATTTGTCTTGTCGGTAATAAACCTGGTTCTTGGAATGACTTAAAAACAATGATGAGAGCTAGATTTGTACCCGATTATTATATTCGTGATTTACAAAAGAAACTGCAAAATTTGAAACAAGGGAATAGAACCGTAAGAGAGTACCACTGGGAGTTTAAAATTTGTATGTTGTACGGTGGTATAGGGGAGTCTAGACAAGATACAGTTACAAGATTTTTACATGGGCTTAATTTAAACATTCAGCATAGGCTTGAGAATAAAACATATAGCCATCTTTTTCAATTACTTTTGTATGCTTGCGATATTGAAAGTCAGATTAAGAAAGAAACAAAAATGCCTATGATACATGAGAATATTCTTGCGCCTTCTATTTTATCTAACATCATGCGGGAAGGTAAAAACAATTTTGAAGAAAAGAACAATGAAGCACCTAAATTAGGTCAAGAGAGCGTTTCGGGTAATTTAACTGATGGTCAATTGAACCAAGGTAAGAAAGATTGTGCTATGCTACAATTGTCCACTAATTATGCTATGTTAGAGCAATCTCTAGTGGAACAGATTTCTAATTTGCCTTTATCACAAGCTAAAAATTCAGATTGTGTTGATATTGATAATGCTTGTAATGAGGAAGAGTTGTGCAATGCTTCACTTATATACATGCCACAACTAGTGAAAGAACACGTTACTTCTATTTCTGAATATTTAGGTTCCACTCAAAATAAACGTGTCTTTGTTATTGCTGATGACCAAGAAGAGCTGAAATTATTGTCTTCTTTATGTACTTTGGGTTATATCGAATTTGATATTCTTTGTGATCTAAATACCTTAGAGAAGAAAATTTATGATTTTCCATGTTATTCTTGGAACAATTATCATGTCATTGGTAAATATAATAATAGATGATGTTATATGGTGCATCGTGTTTATATATGTTTAGATATGAATCCTCCTTTAAATATGGAAAAATATGAGAAACCAAATGGATGGTACAACGTTGATGCTATTGGGATAAATTCACCTAACGTTCTTTTAAAGATCGATGACCATATTCAAGAAGGGGAGTGCTGTGCACTGTTAAATTCAAAGGTGAGTTGGTTTCCTCATGATGTAAATTGGATTTATAAGGAACAAATGATGCTACACAATGATTGCTTGTTTGCTATTTTTTCAGTTGATCTCTCCTATGACAACAATTGCAACAAGAAACCGAGGACGGTTTCCAAACAAGAAAGGGAGGATGATGTGACCATCAAGTATATGCATACATCCAAGCATGAGAAATATAAAACATGGCAAAAGTCCAATGAGTTTTGGAATCTAGTTTGGCCTCCGGAGACAGCACTGACTTCAAACGGACCTAGCGTCTTCATGCCAACTCCGATTTGGGTGATCTTAGACTTCATGGAAAGCTTCTCTCGCTAACTTTCATACGCATCAGGTCTCATGTCTAAATTCATCTCTAGTCAACGGGAATTGCCAAAACAAGACAGTGTTATTGCTGAAACCAAACTTGGGTCTTGGGCCTTGTAATAGACTAGGCCCATCTCGGAAGTGTCTCTATCAACCTCCACGAATTAGCACTTAACCCTAGCATTATTTTCCTCTATAAATAGCTTTGTACATCCTAAAAAACAATTGGGTTTTTTGTTTAGTTGAATTTTGCCAAGTGCCATTCACCTTGTCTCTAGTCCTCGCTCGATTAGTCGGCGACTATTGATTCAGAGCCTCCAATAGTTGGTGTGTTGATTTGCCGGGTCGATTAGATCTACCATTTCAATCGCAACTATTCCTTTGTGCTTAATTACCTATTCACAATATTTAGATTGCATCTTATCTTGTTGTTGCAGTGTTCTCTCGTTTGCATTGCAGGGATCATCAACCGCGCGTCACGGTTGGTACGACATCAGTTGTGGTGTAGCGATTGCATAGCGTCCTGGACTTGTTTGTGTTGGTAGCCACGTCGCAAACGTCGCACTCGATCAAAGCGAGAGTTATCCCCTCATCAGAAGATCGGGCCACGAGAGAGAGCGTCATCACATAATGAAGTACTGAGCATGAAACCCGGATGTAGGCCTAGTACATGTGTGGTATGCCCGGTACCCTCGGTACCGGACTCGATACCCCTTACCAATATGACATCTATGTGGGCATGTGGCATCAGGCTAGATCCTCAAGAAAAAAAAGGAGATGACGACGACGCGATGTTAGGAGGCGGTGGCATGGTATGTGAGCCAACAACAACAGTAGGAGACGAAAAAAGTGCAGCCCCCCAGATGCATATGGTAGGAGGAGGGAGGAGATGAGAAGAGGAATGAAAGAGAGGAGATGAGGTGTATCAACGGTGGAAGGAAGGAAAGAGATGAGATGAGGTATCAACATTGGAGCACGGTGGCAGCTCTAGCTTCAACCACTAGCTTGAATTGAGTTCTTTTTGCTCAGTTGTGTTGCCACATCTCCTCCTCCTCCTCTTCACCCTAACTCTTTTTTTTTCTCTACTTGTACCTTGTGTTCTTCGTGGTGCCGGGACCGACATTGCTATGCATTCACAATCGTAGCATCATGAAGGGAGTGATCCGATGGAGGAGATAGAAGTGGCAAAGATGGAGGGGCTCAAGAAGGTGACAGGGAAGCTAAAAGGTGGTGCCACAAGCGACAACAGTAGTAGCTGGCGTGAGCGGAAATTGGGGTGGACTCAGCATTTGGCTAGGGTAAAATGCATGGGTTTAATTAACTAGCAGTGCCTAGGACTTAGGTCCTCCCCTGTGTGGAAAGGAGGGAGGAGCCGATGAGAAGAAGGAAAAAGAGGGGAGAAGGTGGCATAAAGCAGGCAGCTTGCCGGGCGCCCAAGTGGTAGTGACCACGCGTGGGCATACCTCGTGCGGACACGAGAACGGGATCCTCTCCCCCTTAGATCATCCTAACTCCTTCTTTCTTCCTTACCTCTGATTGTGCCTCACTGCCTCGTGCTCCTCATGTTGCCGTGCCTGACATTGTTGTGTGTTCGCGATTATAGCACCACGTAGAGAGTGCTCCGACGGAGGAGAAATAAGGGACAGATGGAGGGGCTCAAGGAGGTGGCAGGAAGCCAAAAAGTGGGGCCACGCACAACCGCAAGCGGTAGCAGTAGTAGCATGCATGTACGAAAATAGGGGTGGACCTAGCATTTATCTAGGCCCTGGTCTAACATTATAGTGATTTCGGCTCATCTATAATAAATACATGGTGAATTTACGTATGGCTTAGCTGAAATGTATGTGTTTTAACTAGTAGCTCTGGAAATATGTCTGCCCCTGTGCAGAAAAGAGAGGAGGAACCGATGAGAAGAAGGAAAAAGAGGGGGAGACGGTGGCGCAGCTTGCCGGCGCAGAGTGGGACGGACATACGTGCTCGCGCAGACAATGCGCTATCCCTTTGCAGCGGGCTGGCAAGCAATGGCGGCTGTCGGCGACTACATATCTAAGGGAGATTTTCAATTCATGGTGAGGACTGCATATGCATATATTTCAGGGTGTGTTTAGTTCACGCCAAAAATGGAAGTTTTGTTGAAATTGGAACGATGTGATGGAAAAGTTGAAAATTTATATGTGTAGGAAAGTTTTGGTGTGAAGGAAAAGTTGGAAGTTTGAAGAAATAGTTTGGAACTAAACTCGGTCTCAGAGAGTATTGCACACATGGCCATAATACCACACGGTGTGACACCCATAACACCATACGTATGAATCTGCGAAGGTTTTTGCTTAGTACTCCCTCCGTTTATAAGATGTTTTGACTTTAGTTATAGTCAAACTACTTAAAATTTGACTAAGTTTACAGAAAAAAATAGTAATATTTTCGATCTAAGATAAATTTATTATAAAAGTATATTTAATTATTAATTTAATAAAACTAATTTGATAATCTAAATATTACTCCCTCCATCCCAAAATATAAGAAGTTTTAGGGTTGGACACGGTGAAAGTAGGTAAAGTGAGTGGCGGAGGGTTGTGATTGGATGACTAGTTAAGATAGGTGGGAAAAATGAATGGTGGATGGTTGTGATTAGTTGAGAAGAGAATGTTGATGAAGAATTTGCTATATTTTAGGATAAATCCTAAGGACTAAAAGTTGTTATATTTTGGTACAAAGGAAATACTATATTTGTCTATAAACTTAGTTAAATGTAAAACAGTTTAACTTTGACCAAAGTTAAAACATCCGAGGGGTACTAAGCTCCTAATGAATGTTTTTGCAGTCGCTTTCGCCCAAGATGATAATGACATCATGGCAAACACACATCAGATACATGTACAACGACATCTCATCATCTCATTCAGGTGCTAGACAAGTTCATAGTTGCATCCTCTCTGAATCCTCATCAAGGCTCACTGACCGCAACTTGAACTTAATTTATTCACTAATCAGAAACAACAACAGTAGGAGGAGCAGTAGTACTACTGGAAAGGAAACATGGTGCCAGAAAAAGCAGAGATCACACACTACGTGGATCAGAGAGCACCCAATTGCTATCTTGGATAAATTGCAGCCACCAGTTCACCGGTGAGGAGGAGTAAAGAGATCTGTGTGCACACGTCGGCCTCGACAATCTGGAGGCATGCATAAGCAAAACAGCAGCTTTGGTTTGATGACAGATCTTTTCTGTCACATCGTTTTAATTTTGGTTTTAGACCTTTGCTGCATCATCATCAGGCACTTGAGCCTCGCTGTCATGCAGCTCCAGCTCCAGGCCGGTTTTGCTTGCACCAATCTTGTTCATCTCGTCCTTCTCCTCTATGTTTTTCCCCCACAGAACATTGTACAAGCCTCCGATCAGTAGTATCCCAGCAAAAATACTGCACAATTATATTATCAAAATCAGACAAGAGAATTTGTTACTGCAAGAGAAGTTGTGAATTCTACTGTGTTTTACAAACATGCAAGTAGGGATACAAGCGGGTTTTTTTAGCCCGCTTATCTCACTTCTAGATCATTTTTTCTTCTAAATTTTGTACTACCATATGGAAAATGAACTAGCAAGCGGATTTTTATACGGGTAGTGGGACTACCCACTTGCATCCCTACATGCAAGTAATTATAGAAGGACGTATACAAAGTTTCACATTTGGGAAGTTAAAAAAACACAAATTTGAATGGACATCCAGACAAATTTTGAAATTTGAACGGATATTATCTGAATCTGAACAAATTTTGCTAGATTCAAACACATTCAAAATTTTTTTGTCTGGATGCACTTCCAACCGAGACCCACTAGTGGATCCAAATTCAAAAATGTTAGAAAATATAAACTAAAATTGTGAACGCTGTACATACCTTCCTAGGCTAACTGCATCCCCTAAAATGAATGAGGACATGATAATTGTGAATATGAAAGTAAGCGGCATCGACATGGCAAGGAACACCGGGCCCCTCTTCGCAATCGTCCACATTTGCATGTAGTACGATAGTGCGGTGACGACCACACCCTGCAACAATATTTGTTTCATGGAGAAAAATTTACATGCATTTAGTTGAGCATTATTTGAGTTACGCAATTTGAACTTGAAAAATTTTGCATCAGAAGCTCAATTACACTGTAGATTACTGCACCAAGCTCGACATTCCATCCTAGCTTCCACTTGGAGAAGTCCCTCTCGGCTGCAACAGCCACAACGAAAGCTTGGACTGATGCGCAACAGATCTGCAGCGTGGTGTTCATCAACTTGGAAGTGTCTTCTATCAGTGGACCCTGAAAAGACAACATCATGTTGAATCTACTCTGAAATAAAAATTAAGGTCTCAAGCGCACAATGCATATAGCCATGTTCTTTTCAGCTTATTCACTGAATTATTAAAATGTTTTTTTTTTGCCGGGAAGGCATAAAGAGGCTATCTGAAGAAGAAAAGTTACAAGAAAAAACACAACAGAAGCTGTCAAGGTCGGACGTGCACCAAGCACATCCAAACACCACACACTAACCACACAAAGCACAAACCAATGGATTATTTACTTCACGCTTTGAAATATATGTTTTCTCAAAAAAAAAACTCACTACCACCGGTTTTAAGATATTTATTAGGTTTATTTCTCAAAATATTTAATTTTTCATATATAAATATGAAGTTTGATAGCATATGTATATACCTGGAGAACTGTCCATAGGCCTGCTAAAATGTTAGAGAGTGTCATGAGGAAGATTCCAAATGCCCATTGCTTCTTGGAATGGGTATCTCCTGAAGAAGAAGTGCTGCTGCTGCTGCCTTGCTGAAAGAGGTGGTGATGGTTGAACGATTTGAACATTGGCCCCTCGTAGAAGGCCAAAATTGTGACACCGGCGATGCAGAACAGAATACCTGCCGCTTTTACATTTCCATGGAACTTCTTCAGTTTCATAGACTCCATCCTGCCACAAGGAGAACAGATTCCTCAAACTTCTGATGAAGTGCATGCCTTTTCACTCTTCTTGTGTGTGGACATATCTCTTTAAATAATTCATCGCATTTACTTCAAGTAATCAATTTTTTTATTTATTAAGCCAATTCAAATTGCATTTTCATGATTTTGGTATATAATAAGGATGTCTGAATTTTTTTTATGGGATAAAATAGAAATTCCATTACCCAAATACAACAGCAAGGACAAAGGTAACCACTGGTTGAACGTTGTACAATGCTGATGATGATGCTGCCGAAGTATAATTGAGACCAAGGTTAAATAAGTCGCCACAAGCTGTCACCCTGTGATAAAAAAAATATACAAGGAATTACATAACTTTTACAAGACAATGTAATACATGTAAAATCGAGAAGTTATTAATAAATATATGCTGTGAATTTCATGTATGTTAAAGGCTTGTTGTATCCTCTGCATGAACATCTGACCATGTGCTATGTTGTCTAAGCAATCCTGACATGAAGCAACTTAGTGCAGAGAATATCATAATTAAATCGACAAACTGTGGAAGATTGGAAAGGCAGTGTGAGACATGCACAGAAGAAGATTTCAGATCACAGCAGGGCACACCAAGAGATGACTTGCGAGATGTGAACACTATTCATATCCACAGTTGTATGTTAAAGCAAAGCCTATATTCTTCAAGAAATATCATTTGCCCAAACAAGACTAACAGAAAGAAGAGCCACAACTCCTGCATGAGCTTTGATTTGAGAGACAAATCTTGCATGGTGCCATGAACAAATTAAGGAGAATCACAAGAACAATTCAGTTTTTTCTTTTTTACTAGCTAGAAGAAATTTAACTTACCCATATAAGGCATGTACAAACATTTTCCCTGCAATTTTTAACGTCACCGGTTTAGCTTTCCGCCTGCACAAACACAAGAAACAACATAATTAGGAAAACAGTTTAAGTCACGATCAATGCATATAGTAAACAAAGAGCATAGTTGACAATGGGCTGACCTCTCTAGAACAAAAGTAATAGGGATCAGCACGAGTGCAGCAGTGGTATGCCGATAGAACAGAAACACCAAGGGGTTCATGCCTTGATCCAAGGCGATCTTGCTCATCACATGCATACCAGAGTACATGATCCTGATCAGAACAACGGCCGCATAGGCCTTAGCGCCGCCACTACTCATCTTTGAGTTTCTTGATGAGTTAGTTGCTGCAACTCTGAGAGTCTCTCTGAACTTAACTATCTGAATCTTGAGTCCTCTCAGACTTGTGCTGCAGCTATATATACATTGCTAAAAGCACCGGAACGGCAACCTCGTAAGAGCATATGCCTTGTTCCGGTGTGCAGGACATGGATAATTCCCTTATAGCTAGTGCATCATCACCTAATAAATCAGTGATGAGCCAATGGAGGGAGAATTAATTAGTAAAGAGGATGGAAAATGCTGGGCACTGCAAATGAGTCATGCTAGAAGAATATAATGGGGATGAAAATTCGGTGATGTGTGATCTGAGCATCCACTGATGGAGGAAGAAAAGATGGTTAGCAAGCTAGGCTACTAGGCTAGTGATCTGAGTCGATCCCAACTTATTTTTGCCAGCAGCATTAGTGGCTCTCCGTTTACCATTTGGAGCCCCAATGCCACTACTTTGCTTTCCCAAAGGCAAATTAGGGACATACTGTTCCATGTCAACATTTTTTTTTGTACACATTGGTTTCTTTTGGGTGATGACTAATGACAAAAAGGGACATGAGAATTTGTGACAGATGGAACAAGCAAACTGAACTTGCAGAAGTGCTTGTTGTGTTGTTTCCGAATGTTGCCTCTAATTAAGTGTTAGTTGGGTATCAGAGATATAGATGGTGGTAGTGCTTGCATCTGTTTCAAGTTCCCATCAAAGTTAATTACGAGAAAATTTATAGGTACAGTGATCGAAGTGGTAGTAGGTTTGGCTTGCACCTAGAATATATAATTAGTATGCCAGCTCCTTTATAATGGATATGTATCCCTCTTAATTTAATTAAATGGTAAGTAGGACAAATCAAGATCATTTAGGCAGGTAATACTGAGGAAACTGTGCTCATTTTTGCTTCTCTAGAAGCTAATAATTGTGATGGTTCCGTGATAGTAAAGGCAAATTAAAGTAGTAATTAAGCTTAGCTGGACATAGACCAATGGCGATAGATTTTTTGTGTTGTCCACCACTTCTCCTGTTTAATTTTAACTGCATTTGTATGCTATTGTCTAGACTGAATATGGATTTACAGTTCAAGATTTCAGTATTGACAATAGCTGGATATGACTTTTTTCCATCTCTTCAAGTAGTACAGTTAATTAGGTTCTAATAAGATTCTGATCAGTTCAAACAAAAACTCTACAAAGATTGTAACTGAAGACAAAAATTCAGCATGCATTGTGCCGCATCGTCGTTGAGAAAAGGAGAGCCGTTGGATCACTTCTCTACTTAATCACATGGATGTATTATCTGTGCTAACCATTCGGTATTAATTAATTATACCTTAATACGAATTAATTGATCGTATTTTGTTATCTTACCTTTAATTCATCAGTGGTGATTTTCAAGTGTTATTAGAATGATTTCTAAAATCTCAGTGCAACATAGTTTTTTAAATAGAGATGTGCTCCGGTCTAAAAAAAAATATCTCAAGGTACCAATATATCATGGTGCTAAATCGTTTCTGATCGTTTCGATATAACTGGGCAGGATGTGCATTGTTAGCGATCAAAAACAATTTGGTACCATAAGGTATCGGTACCTTAAAATACTTTTTATTGGGCCAAATCTGTTGTAAATATACTTTTGCCGCGCGCACCTGTCCCTGCAAGAGATCCGGAGATACGATCGTGTGACTACGAGTTTACCACTAGGCAAATTCATAAAAATATCATATTATCTACTTCGATTGAGTAGAGTGCTTCCTTCGCCTTCGCCAAAGTTTTAACTAATGCAATTGAGTAGTGTGCTTCCCATTGGGATAGTTTTAACTAATACCGATTGAGCAGTGTGCTTCCTTTGCCTAGGCCAAAGTTTTCTCACTTAGTATATATATATATAGTTGACTAGATACCCTGACTAGCACAAAACTTACAATAAACATTTACAGTAGACCACACTACTACAGTATAAGCTTCAGTCAACATAAATTATGTTTCACTGTTAAGTACTAACTAAACAAATTCATCTAGTCCTATCTTATACAGATCAAGGGAAGAAGATCCTAGCATATTCCATCGTAGGGCCTTATAGGCAGCAATAATCTTGTATATATATATGCATGCATCCTTTGCAGATATGGTTCCTCATCTTTAGCTGCTTTCTCCCTTTCTTCTCTCTTTTTTTAACTCCTGCTGGTGGATACAGGACAGACTGATGTGTCGGAAAAGTTTGTCGATCAGGCCCTCTCAGATGGATCGTAGAGCGACACGATCACACAGATCGCTAATGTGATCTTTAATCGTGAGAAAGATGGGATAATTGGGATCGATGTCTGGTAGCTAGCTTCGTGTGTTGGGAGTTGGATCACTTACGCATGATTGTGGTGCACTAGTGCTCGAGATCATATATACTATTTCAAATTTCATCAGGAGCACAAGCAACGATGCCCTTGTTTAGTTCCAAACTTTTTCTTCAAACTTTTAACTTTTTCAACACATTAAAACTTTTCTACACACATAAACTTTCAACTTTTCCGTCACATCTTTTTAATTTTGATCAAACTTTCAATTTTGTTGTGAACTAAACACACCCGATGACTCTTGGGTTAAAAATTTCGATCTAGTTCATCTAGAATTAATAAGTACATGGGCTCTGATTTGTCGTTTCCTCGCGACCGTGTCATCGTAGGTTTTGGATAAAATTAAAGCACAACCCTATATTTGGATGACAGCGGGAGACACAGGTTGGGTTCTTCTTGGTTATGTGTGAGTTGCTGCAAGGCGATATGATATATTCTTAAAGCTTGTATTTGTAGGCTGTGTGTATTTCTAAGTTGATGCAGTGATCGGATGTAATTTCATTCCAATGAAATTCTTCCCATTGTCTTGAGAAAAAGTGATACACCGAACAATCGGAAACTTAATTAGGAATTCAGTGCAACACCGATGAGTAACAGTGTTAGTATTTGATATTTTTTTCCCTAGCTGGCAGTGGTGAGATGTTTGCCTTCCATGGCTCCTAAAGATCCCCAGCCATGGAAGGCATTACTAGCACAAGTTGGTTTGTATGAGACTTACAAAACCAGCACTGATAAAGACGCATAGGATATTGGAAGTGACCGTGACCTCTCGCCGAGCCGCCAATCGATGCTCCAAGATTTTTTTGTCTTTTTTTTAAAAAACTACACAAGAAGACAGAGGGCTTCGACTCCCTTATCCTCCTAGTTTCTTGGCACTTATGAAAAAAAGGGTAATATCCGTGTCTTTGACGGCGTTCTGTCACATGTGCTAATGGAGGTGAAGCGGAATGTGCAAGAAGGGCAGCGATAGTATGAGGTAACAACCTGTCCTATTGGGAAGCTCTTAGGCACATAGCTTAGTATCGCTTCTCTCACCTTCTTCTTATTAGGAGTTGTACTTGGTTTACCAAAATCTCTTCAATGCTAGACTGTAACCCCGCAGGAATCATCTCGGCGTATTATCGATCTATGATAATCTTTTTCTAACATATTAATGTGCACAGAGGCAGCTCTAGAAATTTTTTTGACGGTCCTACTTCATGCTTCAAAATTTCAAAACGCCGAAAACTCGTATACATAGCTTAAAATACTCCACTAAAACTAGCATTTTCATTTAAAAATTACAAAAAATACAACATAAATAGCCTAATGGGTCATGTCAATAGAGGGGGTTTGGACCGAATTTGGATAAAGTAGTCATTGTAGGCCAAAATTGAGGGTGGTCCAGGTGGTCCCTTGAAACTGCCCATGGACATGCAAGATTTTTGTGGTTCCGTAAAAAGAAATTGAAAGTGAAAAAATTGTTAAAATTGCATAGATCGTTGCTACACATACTAATTTCTTTTTTCTTTTCACAAAACTTTTACAAGCAATGATATATCAACCGTTTGATTTAAGTAGACGAAAATTATAGAAAAGCTAGATGTATTCATAGCATGATACATAGTGTTATTAAAAGTATAGTAAGATAAAATTAAGTAGGCATATAGGCTTTTCTAATTGGATACCTATACTCTTAAAAAACCTCAATGGCGGTGGTAAGTGGTGAATCTGCCATCACCACTGTCACGTGGGTCTCATATGAGTCTCTCAAACAATGAGTTGGATGGACTTTTGTTTCTTCATCAACCTCATGCCATCAAATAGGAAAAGTTTCTTTTGAAGTGAGGTGAAAATGATGACAGATAATATGACCCTAAGAATTTAGAATGAGAGTACTTTTATTTTTAGTTGAGGGTTTATTAGAGCGCACGACGTGATTCTCTTATTTAATTGGCATTCAGCCAGTATATACATATATGATCAGTGGTTCAACTGCCATGGCGACTTTGTTGTTGTGTCATATACGATTGATGGCATTTCACGTGTACGTGCACGCAATAAGCCGGCCAGACTCGGTTATACCAGTACTTTTCCCTTTCTCGAAATGTGATCATCTTGCCGTGCGCGAGAGTACGTACGTACGTCCCCGCGCGCGCCTTTGTTGTTGCCCGCGGCCGAGCCGTTAAATCCTCTCGCGAAATCTCGCCCAGAATTCGTGGATCAGAAGAGATCGAAGTTGTTGCTAGCGGCCGGCAGCGTACGTAACCAAGACCAGCGCTAGCTTTTGTCGCGCGCGCGCGGCCCAGCCGGAGCTAGGCCGGCCGGTAGTCGTCCCGATCTCTCACTCAGTAGCTAGCTAGTCCGCGCGCTTTTGTTGCCGGACGCCGGCACACGCCCGGGTTGGGTGGATGAGTCTGGATGGCAGATGGCCATCTGATCTTTTTTTTTGGTTGGAGAGCAGGGCGGATGGAGTGTTCCGGAATAGGGAATATTCCCTCAATATGACGGATGAGTGTATCCGATCGATTTGGCTGGATAAAGCCATCTAGTTTTGGTCTGGGTGATGTGTCATATTCTGATTAAGTGTGGTTGGTTTGATTTTCTGTTAAGCAAGCTTCAAATGATTTTTTTTCTCCTAAACTGCTTATCTAATTTATGATTTGATTACACCACTATATTTGTTACAATTAAATCTTTAAAACAATATCTCGAATGATTATATTTTGATAAAAAATATATATGATAAATGGGTCCCACTAACTTATGGATTTTTCCATCCATGCTATATCCCTCTAGCCAAACAAATAATTGGATCGCCATATCCATACAAACCAAACATAAAAAATTAGATCGCTATATCCAATAAAATATGAATGACCATATTTTATCGTGCGTGCATGACCGTGAACCAAACACACCCGTGCACACGCGCACACACGGCGCACACACCCGTACGAGGCCGGCACGGCACCAAAGCCAC